AATAAGTTACTCCATTAGGCTTCCATGATATGTTCTTGTCTAGTTATCAACTTCATTCTTATAATACAAGAAATGCCATGAATTACAGATCTCAATTTTCTAGAACCCATTTTAGGAAATTTACCATAGCATATCAAGGCCCAAAGTTTTGGAATACCCTCTCTTCTGAACTCAAAGACCAATCTTCATAAAATGTCTTTCAAAAGAACTTACATAGATTTTTAGTTTAACAAGCTAATCTGTCCTAATTATTTCCGTATTGTTGATTAATAATTTCTTGTATAGCCTAGTTTTTTTCTTTCCCTTTTCCTGCTTATTTTTTAGACTATTAACTTGACTATTAACTTGTATCAATAATTAGATACGCTAAATTAATTTGATATTGTTGATTGATAATTATAACTCTTAACCTTATTACTTATACTTAGCTTATTCTTGTCATTTATATATACTTAAATTACTTTGAATTTGTTTTTAAATTGGTAGCCTGAATTTAATAAGCCCCATGGCTTTCTATCCGGGCTGCCCTGCCACTTTTGGTGGTAATATGATCAATAATGTGTTGAATGCAATGCAGTCGTTTTGGTGTTCTTTCTGGAGGCACTCACACTTACTTTTCTTGTTATTTCTGATTTGCTCGATTCATGGGCAAGCAGGATTCTTCCTCGTCCTCTTCTTTCCCTCCGGGTTTGCATGCCACTTTGAAAGCACAGAAAAACGCTATTTTGTCCGCCGTCGATCACGCAAATTGAAGGCCTCGAAAGCAACTTGTTTAAAGCTCAGACTGACTGGCGTCGCAAATTAGCTTCGGAGGTTCAACCGGAAAGCCACGTCTTCAAGAAGAAAGGTAATGAACAACAGTTTACTTCAACCGGAAAGTAATCAGTGCCAGTATTGCTGCAGTAAAGCTTTGGAGATTGGAAACATTGGCAAAGCGAACGAGGAACTGAATGAAGGTTTTTCGTAACTGACTAACAGACAGAAAATGATCGGACAAATCTGAATTTCGTTTCCCCTCTGTTCAAGAATACGTTTGTGATGATTTGGCCGATGATGAAGCAGACGCGGCAAAAATGAAAAAGGCCGAGAAAAGAACTGCAGCCGAGTCTAAATTTTCGCAAGACGAGAAGAGAAGGTAAAGCCTCAAATTTTCGACTTCTGCGCCTTCGACAATAATTCCAGGTTTAGGAGTCCATCGGGCTTTTTCTTCCTGCTGCTGGTTATCAGTTTACGTCCCCCAAGGTCGATATTCTGGAAACCTCTTCGGAGGCTCCGATTTGTGTTTGCGATGTGGAAAGAGAGGCCACTGGGCCAGTTCCTGCCCCTCTAAAGATTAACTCTTGTCTTCAGGACCAAAATCTTGATTTTTTGGTTTTGGATCAATACGAATTTGATCATTGACAGAGCACTCCTGAAAGTCATAGAATCCTCTTTTATCCAAGGAAAGTTGCGTGCTAACTTGTCTTTTGGGCGTGATGCAGTAAGAGCTTCAGATTTTGTTTTGGATATTATTGAAAACGGCTACAAGATTCTTTTTCAGAAGTCGCCGTTACCGTATTCGATTGAGAACAGATCGTCCGCCCTTCTTCATTGAGGTTTTGTTTGGGAGGCTCTTCCAGAGTTGCTGACACGTGGCTGTATTAAACGGCTTTCGGTTTACCCTCTTTTTTGCAATCCTTTGTATGTCGCTGTGGAGTTGTCAGGAAAACTTAGACTGATCTTAGATTTGTTCTATTTTAACAGATTTATCATTAAAACGTGAAATACGAAGACTTAAGAACGTTTTTTAAATGTTTGTTTTTTCTATTTGATCTTTATCTCTATCTATCTTGATCTATATCATCACTTCGATATCTGCCAAAACACAGGAATTCTTGTCCTTTTTATAGTCTTCTTCTGATGTAGTCACAAAATTTTACAAAATTTAGGTTTCACCTTTTTGGTTTGTGTTCTGCGCCATATGTCTCCATCGAAGCTTTTATGTTCGTTGGTTAGTTTAATATACCCCGATGACGCCGCGGGTATTCGGGGCGATACGTCTTTAAATTGCGCCGAAAGCCTTAATAGTATTTAGTTAGCCAAGACATTTCTTCGTCCGGTTTCACACTTAACGATGACAGGAGCTCATAAGCCGGAGCGTTTAACGTTCATACTACGCCTATGCAACGGCGTTTTCACAAGTAGGTTTATTTTTAGATAAGCCTTTCCCGCGAATTGCTTTCGAAAAGCCAATCACAAGCAAATGCGTCATCAATAATAAACTTAACCAGGTAACAAACCAGGTAAACTTAACCAGGTACGTAACCAGGACAACTCCTTCACGGTCAAAAAAAGCATGGCGGACGCACGTGAGGAATCTTCAGAGGATTCTTCTGACAGTACTTTAAGCGACAATTTCAGTATTTACACGGAAACTAGCAGTGCAGAGGAAGATCTGCAAAACGTAGAAGAGCCCGGGACGTCTACTTCATCGGCGACAACGCATAATTCACGCAAAGGGAGATGGAAATCATCTTCGAAACAGCCGACTGTGAAAAGGTCCAAGCGACAACAGTCATTTTCGCGAGAAAAGCTTATCTAAAAATAAACTCACTAGTAAAAACGCCGTTGCGCGAATTTATGGCAGTTGTACGCTCCGGGTTATGGGCTCCTGACGATGATATATCGGTCTAGGAGCCTACACAGAAGTTTGTTTTCCTAGAAACCGTTTTGGATTTTGAGAAAGGTTTGATCTTAATTCGGGAAGGTGGTATCCTTAAGCTTAAATCATCCCTCGTTTCCTGTCTTCAGAAGGTCCAGTGATTAGTGGTGAACTCGTGGGAGGGTTATTTCACCTAATTCTAGCGCTGTTGAAGTCGTTTATTCCGATCTAAGTGGCCCTGGGTTTTTTTCAGTGTGGCGTAGATTTAGTTTCCGGTGTTTGGTCCGTAGATCAAGTGCATTCTAGCTCCACAATCAGAATGTTCACCTCTTATTATTTCGTCTGGGAGTAGTAAGGACTTTTGCATCTGTTGTAGTTATGACATTTCGATTGGGATGGAATGGATCCCGAGATCTCAGATTGATCGGGCTGATTTTCTTAGTGAGCGTCGCACTTATGACGCGGACGATTCTTTTTTTGCACAGAATTGACCCAACTTGGGGTCCTCATTCGATTGATCGTTTCGCAAATCATCTGAACGCTAAACTCTTGCGTTTCAATTCCAGATTTTGGAATCGGGTTGTTGAAGGCATTGATGCTTTTGTTAGGATTAGGCCGGGGAAAATAATTATGTCTGTCCGCCTATCTACCTTATTCTGCGCGTTTTGTTTTATCAGCGTAATTGTAAGCTTCAGGGTTTCTGGTTATCCCTTTGTGGCATTCCGCCCCTTTTTGGCCAATGATTTGCCCAGTTGGAAGTTGATTTGCTCCGACAATTAAAGGGTCTTAAACAAGCTTTTATTCCTGGCAGTTGCAAAAGTGTGTTTGGAAAGGAAAACTTGAACTTCAGGATGATTGCTTTGTGAATCCAATTCGATTGTTAGGTACAGGGCTGTCAATAAGTTTTGAAGTAGCCAGCAGCTTTTGGAAAATAGGCGTCAGCCTAGTTTCCGAGCGCCGAAGGCGCGAGCCTCCTAGGGGGGTCTGGGGGTATGCCCCCCCGGAAAATTTTGAAATTTAGATGCTCGGAAATGCTATTTTCGACGTTTTCCTGACAGTATTTGGGCCCTAAAGAACAATCAAAATAAGACTATATTAACCATATTTTATGTTTATAACAACCATTCTTGTTAAAAGTTCAACCACTTGTACTGGCTTTTAAAAAAGAGCAAAATGATACATCTTCAAAAAAGACATTGAATGTTTTAAGTTCTCATAGAAAAATACTTTCAATGTTTTAAGTAAAGTTCATGTTGTCATATGACAATACTGAAAGCTGAAGTATAATCCTTATTACAACCATTTTTTCTTAAAAATGCAACTTCTGTAAATAAGTTTCCTTTTGAGCATGTCCTCTGTTCCTTTGGGGACATGGTTTTGAAGTAATTAAAGTAAAGTTACTGTTAGTCGTCCATATCAGACTCAAATGCACTGTCTGACGACAATGACAGATCAAGTTCCTTTGCAAGTTCCTCTTCAAGTTCCTCTTCTTGCTCTCGGGTGGAACAGGATGGTTCCCCTTGGTCTGAACTTGGCATGCTCTCAACTTCTTGTGTTCCGCTGCCTCCTCCTTCTTCTTCTCCTTCCTCCACTTCATCCTGGTTGTTTTGTGCATTTTGTGCATTTGGTTGCTGAAGACAAGACCGTGACAGTTTTTTTCTCTTCTTCTTCTCCTTCCATAACTCCACTGCCTTGTTAATCACAGCTTCAGATTCTTTTACTGGTGGCCCATTTATGGCAATATGAAGCAGACTTTCGAGCATCTCCTTCTTCAGGGAATTTCTCAGCCGTGTTTTTAGGCGCTTTAGGGCACTGGCCCCCCTTTCCGGCCATGCATTAGAAACAGGCATAGAGAGGCAGATTTCTGCCACTTGTAACAGCAAGGGATAACTTCTGCTGTAGGATTCTTTGTGTCTTAGAAACCTCTGTAGGGCCCATTCTGTGGAAGTTGCAGAAGGTGAAGGAATAGCCTGGTAGTCCTTACTCCAGTCGGACAGCTCATACTTGAAGTTGTTCCATTCAGCTTCCAGTTTAAGGCGTTTGCTGCTGTTTTCATCTCCACTAAAAAAGTGATTTGCAAGGGTTTGGATGTCGTTTTGTCCATATCCTACA